GACACCCAAAAGTATGGAAAAAAAACTTTTACCACATGAAATATTAAGTTTAATGCAATAAAGTAATTACAATAACAATAGAATAATTGACACTTACCTTTAATGAAGATCTGGTGATGATTGATGGGATGGGAGGAGGGAAGAGTGTTGAACCTATTGTTTAGAAGGGGAATCCCCCTCCATTAGGACTTGAGGTAGTAAGTCCTTTTCCAGGGTTACTTCCCTTCTTCTTTTAATGCCACTAGGACCTGCTTGGGAGTCACTGGACTTCTGTCGCACAACATATCTGTCCAAAGAGGCCTGTACCTCTCGTTCCTTTATGACTTTCCTAAAGTGGTTCAAAACATTGTCAGTGTAATAGTCACCAGCACGGCTTGCAATAGCTGTGTTAGGGTGATTTTCATCCATAAAGGTTTGCAGTTCAACCCACTGTGCACACATTTCCTTAATTTTTTAAGTAGGCACAATGGATTCCGCAACTGGCATAGGCTTCTCAGGGTTAGCCCCAAACCCTTCAAAATCTTTCTTAATTTCCATACTAATTCTCACCCTTTTTACCACAGGGTTGGCAGTAGATGCTTTCTTGGGGCCCATGGTGACTTATTTTGCAGAAACAAGCACCAAAAACAGTGATAATATGGATAATGTGGAATGTACGGAATGTATCCTTAGATGCGCGCACACTGGCTGGCTTGTAAACACTGGCACACACGGGGAAGTTCAGGCCATACGTGGACACATCTCGTACGAATCGTATCGCATACCGGGTTTTGTAACGGGAACTGAGGCATATTTTTTGCGATATAATGCATCGGATACCGGATTTATTGGATACCAATAGCATCGCGAACCGGGGGTCCACTGTATACACTTGGAAGATCCTGGAGAGATTGGTACCAAACCTGCACATGAAAATCACTCCCTTTGAAAGCAAAAGACTCGGCAGGAGATGCAACATTCCCCCGCTGAAAAGCAGGGGCACTACGGGTACACTGACAGCAACACAATAAATGTCCTGGGCCCAAGACTGTTCAGTTGCCTCTCAGCATACATAAGGGGGATTACCAGAAGACCCCTGGCTGTCTTCAAGAAGGCACTGGACAGGCACCTAAAGCCAGTACCTAACCAACCAGGCTGTGGTTCGTATATCAACTTGCGTGCGGCCAGCAGTAACAGCCTGGTTGATCAGACCCTGATCCACCATGAGGCCTGGTCTCAGACTGGGCCACAGGGGCATTGACCCCCCCAAACCCTCTGCAGGTAAAGTCCAGGTAAACTCCTGTCTCCAGACAAACTCTCGTCTGTGTCCAACGCTGCCGATACTACTACACGAATGATATATTTTATTCATTCTAGAGCATATATCAGGTTTCTATGTTATTTATTTTGTTTATTATGTCATTAGATGAAATTTGATAGATAAATAAGCCATAGAATTGATATTAGGGAAATGATTTAAGTATTTTTTTGTGCCTGGAATCCCTCGGGAACAGATCAGTTCCATACCCCCGGCCGGGATTGAACCCGCGGTCATAGAGTCTCAAAACTCCAGCCCGTTGCGTTAGCCACTAGACCAGCTAGCCACAATAAGATTCATCCAACTAGGTATATTTCTACACCATAGGAAGGTTAGCACAGGCACCTCTGTGACCACAAATGCAAGTTTTTACAGACAAATCTCCAGCTAGCGTGGCCGTGACGAACTCTAGCTCAAGTCCCTTCACTGCCGTCAACATGACTTAAGAAATCGTAATGACACGATTGCAAACAAACCATACCCCCGGCCGGGATTGAACCCGCGGTCATAGAGTCTCAAAACTCCAGCCCGTCGCGTTAGCCACTAGACCAGCTAGCCACAATAAGATTCATCCAACTAGGTATATTTCTACACCATAGGAAGGTTAGCACAGGCACCTCTGTGACCACAAATGCAAGTTTTTACAGACGAATCTCCAGCTAGCGTGGCCGTGACGAACTCTAGCTCAAGTCCCTTCACTGCCGTCAACATGACTTAAGAAATCATAATGACACGATTGCAAACAAACCATACCCGCGGTCAGAGTCTCAAAACTCCAGCCCGTCGCGTTAGCCACTAGACCAGCTAGCCACAATAAGATTCATCCAACTAGGTATATTTCTACACCATAGGAAGGTTAGCACAGGCACCTCTGTGACCACAAATGCAAGTTTTTACAGACGAATCTCCAGCTAGCGTGGCCGTGACGAACTCTAGCTCAAGTCCCTTCACTGCCGTCAACATGACTTAAGAAATCGTAATGACACGATTGCAAACAAACCATACCCGCGGCCGGGATTGAACCCGCGGTCATAGAGTCTCAAAACTCCAGCCCGTCACGTTAGCCACTCGACCAGCTAGCCACAATAAGATTCATCCAACTAGGTATATTTCTACACCATAGGAAGGTTAGCACAGGCACCTCTGTGACCACAAATGCAAGTTTTTACAGACGAATCTCCAGCTAGCGTGGCCGTGACGAACTCTAGCTCAAGTCCCTTCACTGCCGTCAACATGACTTAAGAAATCGTAATGACACGATTGCAATCGTGTCATTACGATTTCTTAAGTCAGATCAATTCCATGTCAGTTAATTTAAATGAGGAAAATTGACTCTGCAGATGAGTAAATCCAGATGCAAGCAAGGTCATGGAATGGATTAAACTCATCAGTAGAGGTTCCATTATATATCCATCTGCCATTGCATCTATTCTCACATATGTAAATATACACACTTCCTGCACAGACCTCTCCAGTCTTTCATTTTTTGTATACTTATTTTCCTAACCTTGCTTTTTCTGTATTCACTTCAAATTTCCTTCCCTTACTCACCCTTTGAATCTCCTCTACCAATAAATATGCTATATTAAAATCTTGACTGAAAATCTTATTCTAAATGATGGTGATTGAGAAACAATGCGAAACAATACTTCCTGTATTTGCCATTCATTTAGCACAGTTAACTGGCATGAGATCTCTGATGAAACATAAATTGTTCTTTCAAAATACCTGTACTCTGTGCCAAAGAAACAGGCTTTGTAATTGTCACTTAATTATCTCTACAATGCATAGCTGCTATTATTACACTGATTCAGTGACATGGTGTTGAAGAGCAGGGAATATGAACCTACAAAAATAAATTCCATCTTTTGCTCTATTTTACAGTAGACATCAATTTAACAGATATGGTTTTAACAGATTTTGGATTTACCAGACAAAATCTGGAAGCAACAGACAAAATTGGATAAATACAGAATTGTCTGTTAATCTTACAATCTCCTGGGAAAATTCTTTTTAGATTTAATGGATTTTGTCTGCTAAATCAGAATTGTCCATTATTTTTACGGATGGTTCTAGGTTTAGTGGACAAAGTCCAATGAATCTAGAATTATTTGTTATTGCTGCAATATGTTGGGTAAATTATTTTTGGATTTAATGGACTCAGACTGTTAAATCCGAAATAAATTGTTACTGTTGCAATCATGGGAAAATATCTTCATAATTCAGATATAACAAATAACTGGCTTTAATGGACACCCCCTCTCCCTATTAGTCCATTAAATTAAGGATTCACTATACAGCAGGTTTTTTTTTAGTGTGAGTTTGAATAATGCACATTTCACTTCAATGTGTAATTCATTAGTAATGCTAGTTTTTCCCCAAACTCTTCAAAACATGTGCAAAAAATTACATATAATTTGAATGGTGCAAATTCAAATAGTGCGACCACTTCATGGGATTTATTATTCGCACTAGTCGAGACCTAGCTGTATTTAGTATTTTTTAAGTTTTGACTCGTGTATTATTACATATCAGCCTCCTACATTGTTTTTTCAAATTCATAAGTATTGCAGGATGAGAGCTGGTGTGTTTGTTTGGTGCTAAATATTGCCTTAAAAGTCTCTGCTGCTGAAAATACTAAGCTTGGAAGAGATTTTAAAATACAGTGGACCCCCGGGGGTCCACTGTAATGGGATTTTATTCAGCTTTCATATTTTTTTTTTTTTTTTGGGTGGGGGGTGGGGGGGGCACTGAATTGTTGTAGCTTGTTGCTTGCATGAGACTCTGCTTCACTTTGCTTGCTTAGAATAACATCATTGTAGTCATAGGCCACTAGAAACTAAAGTTATAAGACATTACAGGAAGATCATGATATTGATGAATGCTGTACTGTTAGGGTTCTCAGATCACCAGAAACTTGAGTTATCAAACTGTGTATAAAGACCAGCTCATGGTTCAGTCATGACTTATTCAAAATTTTTCCATGAACACTGCGGTTAATTGATCAGTATCAGTTATATAAAACTATTTATACTGTACTTAAAAATATTACTGTATTCTTCATAATTATGAAATGTTTTACAAAATAATTTGACTACTGTAGTTTCAATAATAGAGCAATAACTAGTGCTTGATTTTTTCTCTTGTATTTATTGTTATTGTCTAACAATGCATCCATGTTTCAGCATTCTGATTTTGGCTGACATATCTTAAGCTTATTGTCTGCATTTTTATTTGAAGTTGCTTCAGTTATTTTGTGATACCATAATAGTTTTATAATGACTTACTAGTTCATTTCCATAGTAGCATGAAGAGGATAAGAGAATGTGATGGAGTTGATTGATAGAATTGGAAATTATTTAAATGTTACTAGAGACTCATAATTTTAATGATGTAGGTTTGGGACAAATAACATAGTTGAATTGTGTAGGAAAAAAGAAAAACAGGGTTTGGCCGCATTCTATTAAACATCCGTGTCTTTCCCAAGGACATGACACACAGTTCAGCCTCTCTAATTTGTGAAGAGGTAAGTAAGGTAAGTTGTTTATGTTGTTGCTGTTCCTAAACATAATTCAGATGCAAAGCATGAGAAGCTCCTCAATATTTTAATTTGTTATTTGGGTTAAATAATTCATATATTTTGTGTCTCATAATTACAGATGAATAAAGTTTCAGTTGTAATTTTTTTCATCCTCCATTGTAGGCTACACCAAGCCTGACTAATGTGCTGTGTAAGTGTCGTGTCAGAGAGAATCCCACTGCTGTTGGGATTACTGGGGACGTGTACTGCCAGGCAATTGACTCTTTTGACGGACGCATGATTGGCTGTTGCAATGTTGCTGCAACTCACAAGTAAGACATCATAAATACTGTACATTGAATTTTTAATGCATAATTTTTTCCATCTTTTTAGAGTGCACTACTGTTTGTGCTTCATGGTCATGAAGCCATAGTGTTTACATTAATTTCTAAAATATTTGAGAATGCCTCCTAACTAATTTCACTAATGTGTCTAATGTGTGTTGGTACAATATTGAATAAATTGCAAGCAAGCAGTTGTTATGTACAGTGGACCCTCCCTTTTCATCATTAATCCGTTCCGAAGAGTCTGACAAACGTGAAATTGATGAAAACTGAAACCATTTTCCCCATAAGAAATAATGTAAATCCAATTAATCTGCTCCGGACTCTCCAAAATATTAACAAAAAATAATTTTTTTAGAGATTAAATATAGATTTACATACAGAAAAGAATGACAGATATATTATAAAGCACTAATAACATTTATTAATGAACATTTAGCATCACACTTACCTTTACTGAAGACTTGTTGGTGTATGGAAGACAGGAAAGAGGGGAGAGGGAGGACTGATTAGTGTTTGGGAGGGGAATCCTCTTCCATAAAGACTTCAGGTATCAAGTCCTTATCCTGGGTTACTTCCCTTCTTTGATTTTTAATGGCACTAGGACCAGCTTAAGAGTCGCTGGACCCCTGTCGCACAAAAAAACTGTCCAGAGAGCTCTTGCAGTTCTACTCTCTACCACAATCACTACCACCCTCTACCATCATCACTACCACCCTCTACCACCATCACAACCACTACCACCATCACTAACCACCATTGCAACTGCTACCATCCTCCAACACCATCACAACTGCTACCACTCCCTACCACCATCACTACCACCCTCTACCACCATCACAACCACTACCACTCTACTACCATCACTACCACCCTCTACCACCACCACTTTTGTATTTTTCTACAGTAATTTTCTTTACTTCTGTCGTGTTTCTCACCTTCTTTACCAAAGGACTGGCACTAGCAGCTTTCTTTGGGCCCATGGTGGCTTATTTAGCATTCACACAGAATAAACAACTGCAAAAACAATGAATTATTACAAAATGTTTCCTATTACCTCACAGGATAATGTTCACTCAACAAGAAACAAAGTGACACTGCCTCAAAATGTGCGTGTGGAAGGTTATGTGTGCACGGGCATACTCAGACATGTTTCATACCACCGACGAGAGTGGAGGAAAGTAACGAAAACTGAGCCAATATTTTTATGAAAAAAGTCGGCGATAACTGAAATTCGCGAAAACAGAGCCCAGTGAAAAGGGAGGATCCACTGTATATATTTCATTGATCATGAGTCACATTTTGGTTTTAAGTTATATTTTTCTTTAAATATCTCCTCCAAGAATTCAGAAATCAGAAGACATATGTATCATGTTTTTTTTATCTTTTCTTTCAACAAACTGGCTGTATCCTACCGAGGCGGGGTGGCCAAAAACGAAAAACGAAAGTTTCTCTTTTTAAATTTAGTAACTTATGCAAGAGAAGGGGTTACTAGCCCCTTGCCCCCGGCATTTTAGTCGCCTCTTACAACACGCACGACTTACGGAGGAAGAATTCTGTTCCATTTCCCCATGGAAATAAGAGGAAATAAACAAGAACAAGAACTAGAGAGAAAATAGCAGAAAACCCAGAGGGGTGTGTGTATATACTATATGCTTTTACATGTATGTGTAGTGTGACCTAAGTGTAAGTAGAAGTAGCAAGACGTACCTGTAATCTTGCATGTTTATGAGACAAAAAAGACACCAGCAATCCTACCATCATGTAAAACAATTACAGGTTTCCGTTTTACACTCACTTGGCAGGACGGTAGTACCTCCCTGGGCGGTTGCTGTCTACCAACCTACTACCTAGAATGTTTTTTATATGTTGTTAAATTACATTCTGTAAACATTTACTTTTTTAAAAATTAAAAGTGAGTGTAATTATATACAGAATATGGAGCACATAGCATACACAGAATATATGAAAAAATTATTAAATTAATTGAAATTAAATTTCAAATTTTTATTTCTTATGAGCCATAGAACAGTAGTAGGAAAGGAGAAAAGGTAGAGAGTGGAGGAGAAAAAAAAGTCAGGTTAAATCATGTGTGTTCTGAAGTTTGGAGCATTTAACAATGTAATGGGAAAGGAAGGTGTCTACAGAGACAAAGCCAGGACTAAAATTCGTATAAGGAAAGTTGTGTATAAGGGATGATTCAACAAGTCAGTACAGCTTGAGCAGTTCATTATAGTCTAAATTTAAATTACCGTGAAGATGTGTCATTTAAAACAAAATATTTATGACTTGTTAAAAACCCAAGTATAAAATCTTATTGAAGACAGTAATCATCATTTGTATTACTGGATATAAATCTTTTACTGGCCATGATCATCAGTCAAAATGTTTTTGCACTGTATTATTTATATTTTATAAGAAAGAGCAACATTCTCTCCATCTTCCTTCCCTACCTGTCTCTGACTATCAGTGCATTAAAAATTTTTGATTTTACGGAATTGTTACTGCATACTGATAAATAAAAATAATTGTGTGAAGTCACGTGAATGAATATCTTTCCATAAGGTTCAGTTGAGTAAATGTCAGCCTTTATATTGCTATGAAACCTTTGTTTCTATTCTTAATGCATTCATTATTACATAATCTATGTTATCTGAAACATATACCACGGGCGGGGATAGAACCCGTGATCAGAGAGTCTCAAAGCTGAAACTTATCTTAAATTTGAAATTACTGTAGTTACCACATTCTTATCTTTTAGTTTGACTGGGTTTGGATAATAATAGTGGAACTTTTTAAAGAAAAAACATGATTAAATTCTAAAAGTAATATTGGTACTGTGCAGATACTTGCGAGTGAGTGGAAAAATTCCCTTTATGCTGCTCTGCGAGATTCACAGACAGCGTTTGAGGCGACACAATTGCTGCCCTTGCTGTGGCCTTTTCTGCACTCAGGTTAGTTATGTCATTTTATAGTATAAATTAAGTGAAGCATTTCAGATTATTGAGATAGGAGCATATTCTACCTTATTGCAATAATTGTCTATGTTGGTTATGGCATTAATGACATTAAACCTGGTTGTGAGAGTACCGGCCTAAGTTTATTGTAATTTCTTATTTGACTTTGTGGTGGTGGTAGTGAGGCGAGCTTCAGCTGTTGATCCTTCTCACCTTAACTTTTGACCAACAGACGTGCTAGATTCTTGTTATATCATATGTAAAGTAGTAAGGGAATAATTGTGAAATGCAGCAGGACTATGTGCACAATACAGAACTGTTTCACAAAATTATAACCCAACTTCAGACAAATCACAGAACAGGTGGGGCTTGAACCTTTGGCAGGTGAGTCCTAAAACTCACAGGTCAATGCATTAGCCACTGGGCCAGCTGGCTCTAGTAAGATTCATCCAACTAGGTATATTTCTATATGCCATAAGAAGGTGGTCACAGTGGGGCCCATGCTATCCTCTCTCTGATATATAGAAATATACCCAGTTGGATCAGTCTTATTAGAGCCAGTTGACCCAGTGGTTAACACACTGGCCTCTGAGTGTTAGGACTCACCTGGCATGGGTTAAAGCCCCACCTGTTCTGTAATTTATTTACAGAATTACTATGAAAATGATTAATTGGTTTTATTAAAAAAAAAAAACATACAATTTGTAGGGATTGATGACAGAATGAATGAATGCTATCTATACATAGCCACTTCTGTTTTCATGTAAAATATATGATTAATAAGTAAAATCTTTTATGATGCTCTTAGATAATTTTGACATTTGGAGAGAATGACTTAAGAATACTTTACTGGTGCGAATGGTAGTGTGGTAAATGCTCTCATAACACGGGAGTATTATTCCTGATAATCTGTACCTTATGAAAAATAGCTCAGTGGGAAATGACAATCATATGTGAAAATAAGATTATGTTCTTGACACCTTCAAATTTGTCAATCAGTTTTTTAACTATTCTCTAAGGTAAGAATTACTGTATAACGTAGGTTACATTCTGTTAGTCATTACTTTAAGCAAGGTTGTATTGTAAGTGGGTTTATGGTATAGAAATACCTTCCCATTATAAGGTAAGACAAGGGCATACATGTGTGATATGCAAGTTATGTGAGCATAATTGTATTGATTACGTATTTGTGGGATATTCTTGCTTTGTAGATTGGAGATCATGTAAGATGTGATCTTGATTGGCTCTTTCATGGAAACGGAGAGAGATTTATTTATGCAGTGATTCAATTTAGCAAGCAAATTATGTATAATTTGAAGATTTGATATTGAATATAGAGGTTTCTTAGTGACTAATTTAACCATACAATAGGGTGTGTTTTATGAATGCTCTTGGGACAAGTCTGGCCTGTATCACTACTACCACAAGCTGTGTGGTCTGATGTTGGCCGGGGCAACGCTCTGCCCACATTGTGGCTCAGAAGGACCACCTAGGGAGGTGCAGTTGGATCTGAAGCTCAACAGGAAACCTGTTGTCTACTTAAAGCAGCATCAAGAAAGGAAGGAGTAAGTATTGTTTTATGCAACAAAGCACACTTGTTGTGCTTTGTGGCATACATGTCAGTCATCCAATGAAGTAAAACAGTATGATTTATTTCCTTGTTTCAATGAGTATTATACCTTTAAGCAATTGTAATATCATAGGTTTTTGGTGTAAATGTGTTGTATAGTAGTCTAGAAGTCACACAGGTATCAGGAATGCAGAATTATTATATAACCCAGATTATACCTTGAACTTTTTTTTTATATACACACTGGCTGTCTCCTACTGAGGCAGGGTGACCTGGAAAAAAAAAGAAACAAAAATTTTTCTGCTTTTTACATTTAGTAATTTATACAGGAGAGAAGGGGTTACTAGCCCCATGCTCCCGGCATTCTAGTTGCCTCTTAGGACACACGGCTTACGGAGGAAGGGTTCTTCTCCACTTCCCCATAAGTATAATTGACCTAGGATAATCCAGTATAGTTAAATACTGTGATTTATTTTCATATTTTGAGGAGCACTACACTTTAAAACGTAGTAGTAAAAAAATAGAATACAAAGCACTTATATATACATACAACCTCTCCTCACTTAACGATGGAGTTCTGTTCCTAATATTACATAGGTAAACGAATTCATCGCTAAGGAGCATACTATAATGGTTGTGTGTTTGTGTCATCCATGTTTGATATTGTTTTAATGTCACCTTTGCACCATTTATAACATTTTTAGTATATTTTTAAATGCTTATACAGTAGTGTACTGTATATTGCAATAAACAGAATAAGAGGAAATCAGCTCTGATATATATTATTTAGTTCTGCATGCTGGTCAGAGAGTCTGTCATAAGTCCGAGTTGTTGGTAAACAAGTATGTCTCAAGTGAGGAGAGGCTGTACTATGGAGCAATTTTTTGCTAAACATTTCTCTCTGTTTAAATTCTAAAACATCTTTAAACACATCTAATGTCATAAAAAAAAGTGGTGTATGTAGTGCTAAACATTTAAAGCAATTAATAACACTGAAAAACAATCATAATTTGGTGCCAAATTGTAAAACATAAATATTACTGGCACATGTCTGCCACTGTTCCTGACGAGTGATAATTTTTTTTACCAATTTCAGCATGCCATAAAATCATAAGTTTTTATCAGATTCCACTCATTTCAGTCTTTCATTCTGTAAGAAAAAATTAAAATCTCTCACACAGGAATTTTTTTTCTGGGTATGTCATAGTTTAGGGGTTAAATGTTTATAATACAGAAAAAGAAAGGCCACATATCCTATCAGTGTATATATAAAACATTTCGTGGGTCACTATTGCACTCTTACAGAGTCTTGTATGTATATGACACTATAGGCATAAATTATACAGAAGAAAAAGGAGGCCACAATATTCCTTTGCCATTTGACTTATCCTTTGAACTGTCTTGTTTATATAAAATGTTGTATTGTGTCTACAAATAATTATTTGTAACTTGTATTGACAGAGCATCAGCCCGTATGACCTGGTCAAAGAGAATATCTCCTGAGACAGTGGTTCCTACAGAATCTATGCCAGAAAATGAACCAACTCTTGAACTTTGTAATGGACGAATGATCTCTTCGCACAGATTTCCTCTTGAGCTTGGACGAGAAAAGCTTCAGGAGGCCATCAAGTCTATTCATGGTGGCAAAAATATTAGTGCCAAGTAAGTTCTTTGGTTATTGTCATAAACTTTGTGAAGGTAAATGTAATGTCTTAGTCATATATAAGAAATATGACTGAAGTTACAAATAAGTATTAGAATGTGGGGCAGAAGTTTGTGGTTATAGGAGGGTGGGGGCAGGAGGAAAGAGGAGTGATTGGTGGAATGATGAAGTAAAGGGTGTGATAAAAGAGAAAAAGGTAGCTTATGAGAGGTTTTTACAAAGCAGAAGTGTTATAAGAAGAGCAGAGTATTTTTATATTTTTATTATCACACCGGCCGATTCCCACCAAGGCAGGGTGGCCCGAAAAAGAAAAACTTTCACCATCATTCACTCCATCACTGTCTTGCCAGAAGGGTGCTTTACACTACAGAGCAGAGTATATGGAGAGTAAAAGAAAGGTAAAGAGAGTGGTGAGAGAGTGCAAAAGGAGAGCAGATGATAGAGTGGGAGAGGCACTGTCAAGAAATTTTAATGAAAATAAGAAAAAATTTTGGAGTGAGTTAAACAAGTTAAGAAAGCCTAGGGAAAATATGGATTTGTCAGTTAAAAACAGAGTAGGTGAGTTAGTAGATGGGGAGATGGAGGTATTGTGTAGATGGCGAGAATATTTTGAGGAACTTTTAAATGTTAAGGAAGAAACAGAGGCAGTAATTTCATGCACTGGTCAGGGAGGTATACCATCTTTTAGGAGTGAAGAAGAGCAGAATGTAAGTGTGGGGGGGGAGGTACGTGAGGCATTACGTAAAATGAAAGGGGGTAAAGCAGCTGGAACTGATGGGATCATGACAGAAATGTTAAAAGCAGGGGGGGATATAGTGTTGGAGTGGTTGGTACTTTTGTTTAATAAATGTATGAAAGAGGGGAAGGTACCTAGGGATTGGCAGAGAGCATGTATAGTCCCTTTATATAAAAGGAAAGGGGACAAAAGAGACTGTAAAAATTATAGAGGAATAAGCTTACTGAGTATACCAGGAAAAGTGTACGGTAGGGTTATAATTGAAAGAATTAGAGGTAAGACAGAATGTAGGATTGCGGATGAGCAAGGAGGTTTTAGAGTGGGTAGGGGATGTGTAGATCAGGTGTTTACATTGAAGCATATATGTGAACAGTATTTAGATAAAGATAGGGAAGTTTTTATTGCATTTATGGATTTAGAAAAGGCATATGATAGAGTGGATAGAGGAGCAATGTGGCAGATGTTGCAAGTATATGGAATAGGTGGTAAGTTATTAAATGCTGTAAAGAGTTTTTATGAGGATAGTGAGGCTCAGGTTAGGGTGTATAGAAGAGAGGGAGACTACTTCCCGGTAAAAGTAGGTCTTAGACAGGGATGTGTAATGTCACCATGGTTGTTTAATATATTTATAGATGGGGTTGTAAAGGAAGTAAATGCTAGGGTGTTTGGGAGAGGGGTGGGATTAAATTATGGGGAATCAAATTCAAAATGGGAATTGACACAGTTACTTTTTGCTGATGGTACTGTGCTTATGGGAGATTCTAAAGAAAAATTGCAAAGGTTAGTGGATGAGTTTGGGAATGTGTGTAAAGGTAGAAAGTTGAAAGTGAACATAGAAAAGAGTAAGGTGATGAGGGTGTCAAATGATTTGGATAAAGAAAAATTGGATATCAAATTGGGGAGGAGGAGTATGGAAGAAGTGAATGTTTTCAGATACTTGGGAGTTGACGTGTCGGCGGATGGATTTATGAAGGATGAGGTTAATCATAGAATTGATGAGGGAAAAAAGGTGAGTGGTGCGTTGAGGTATATGTGGAGTCAAAAAACGTTATCTATGGAGGCAAAGAAGGGTATGTATGAAAGTATAGTAGTACCAACACTCTTATATGGGTGTGAAACTTGGGTGGTAAATGCAGCAGCGAGGAGACGGTTGGAGGCAGTGGAGATGTCCTGTTTAAGGGCAATGTGTGGTGTAAATATTATGCAGAAAATTCGGAGTGTGGAAATTAGGAGAAGGTGTGGAGTTAATAAAAGTATTAGTCAGAGGGCAGAGGAGGGGTTGTTGAGGTGGTTTGGTCATTTAGAGAGAATGGATCAAAGTAGAATGACATGGAAAGCATATAAATCTATAGGGGAAGGAAGGCGGGGTAGGGGTCGTCCTCGAAAGGGTTGGAGAGAGGGGGTAAAGGAGGTTTTGTGGGTAAGGGGCTTGGACTTCCAGCAAGCGTGCGTGAGCGTGTTAGATAGGAGTGAATGGAGACGAATGGTACTTGGGACCTGACGATCTGTTGGAGTGTGAGCAGGGTAATATTTAGTGAAGGGATTCAGGGAAACCGGTTATTTTCATATAGTCGGACTTGAGTCCTGGAAATGGGAAGTACAATGCCTGCACTTTAAAGGAGGGGTTTGGGATATTGGCAGTTTGGAGGGATATGTTGTGTATCTTTATATGTGTATGCTTCTAGACTGTTGTATTCTGAGCACCTCTGCAAAAACAGTGATAATGTGCGAGTGTGGTGAAAGTGTTGAATGATGATGAAAGTATTTTCTTTTTGGGGATTTTCTTTCTTTTTTGGGTCACCCTGCCTCGGTGGGAGACGGCCGACTTGTTGAAAAAAAAAAAAAAAATGACTGAAATGTGTAAAAAGAAATTTAGGATTTACTTATAGCTACTTGTGTGTTTTTGTACTCAGTTTGGACTGAGACCAGGCTTCCTCATGACTGCCAAATCAGTCAGATTATTACTTCTTATTACCCTGCCTGCCTGCATGAACATCACCAGGTTGATCTGTCACACCCTGTAAAAAGCTGCCAAGCTCTTTCATAAAGACTTCTACTTTTGTGGTTAAGACTCATGAGTAAATACTTAGGATATTTTATTATGGAAATGTTTCAGTCCTGGGATTTTGTTCACTCTCTACACACCACATTAATTTAGTTAAGGAATGGTACATGTAATGTAAGCCAGAGTTTACTGAGATCAGGTAAGGTGAACAGTTGTGAGATCACCCAGTGAAGTCATTGGGTAGTTTCAAAACATAGTCAGATATCTGAGTAGGACCTGCCTTGCAATGGCCACTAGACTCACTTTAGTGCTCCTTCTTTCATCTGTTGTACAAAGGAGTACTGCAGTAGGTCTGCTGGCCAATGCTAGGCAGACCCTTTGCAAATACTTGACTAATATATTTAAAAGCTACCCAGTGGCTCCACTTGGTGATCTCACAGTTGTTTGGCTCACCTGACTTTGCTAAACTCCAGCTTACCTCACATTTACCATTCCTGTGTTAACCTATATTTTCTCAGGAGTCATATATGGAGTGAACAAGATCCCAGGGCTGAAATATTTCCATATTAAATTGTCTGAAGTGTTTGCTAATGTGTTTTTAACCATAACTTGTCAGTGTTGTATACCATGTTTTCACTACAATTCATTTGTTCCAGCAATATTTTTCCATCTGTTAGTGCTGTAAATGTTTGAAGCATTGATGTCGGATGTTTCTGCAGGCACAGAATGTTCATTGGGTTTATCTTTCATGTTATATCTCTTTCTTCAATAAAGTTTTCCTGTGTATGTCTAAATTAATTAGGTGAAGGCAGTATTAGTAGTTCAGATGTTTTACTGGCTTTGAGCAGTAAAAGATCTCTGTTTACTTTCTACTTGGATATCTTGCCTGCCTTACAAGGTGAGATGAGAAAAGAGAACAAAAAGGAACATTACTGTGACTGGAACAATACACAAATAACCTGCACATAGATAGAAGCTTATGATGATGTTTTGGTCTGACTTGGACCATAACTTGTAAATAATCCAAGTTTGAAATGTCATCACAAGCTTCTCTCTCCTATGTGTGAGTTGTTTGTGTAGTGATGAGAACATACAGTGTTCTTAACAGATAGTACTAGTGCCTTGAAATGTGTCATTAGAGTATCATCACTGATTTTGAATCTTCGTATAATAGTCCATATTATTTTGTGTTCAAGCTATGTGTACTTTTTCTCTCTCTTTAAGCATGAATAGTTGGTAAATATCAAAGTTATGATGCTAGGCAATTGAAAGAAGAGGACATAGGTGGTGTAACCTCATTGACTTCATACTGCCTTAATATTTTACGTATACCTAATTCTTTCCACACTGAGCTAGTTGCCTTCAGTCTCAGTATTTTATATTCAGTGAACTGTATGTGACACTACCCATAAAGAGTTGTAAATTTCTTTTTGGTCTGAATTCAACTAGTCACTGAAAATATATATTTTTCAATAATTAATTATAAACTTAAATCAATGATTAAGTTTTTACTCTATGCTGTTCTCAGGCCTTCACCTAAAGGAATGTATTCATCATGCAAACAGAATGATTTAGAAAAATTGTTGCATGTTTTAGGTAAGTACTTTCTGCTGTTGTTTGCCTATTGTCTTTGCCTTGTTTTTGTCTGTAATCCATATACATGCTACTGTACAGAAAATATAAACTCCTGTTTTTTTACACTGATTTTTTTAGTAAAAGGGAGCAAGGGGCTAGTAACCCCTTCTCCTGTATAAATTACTAAATTTAAAAAGAAAAACTTTAATTCTTCTTTTTAGGTCACCCTGCCTCGGTGGGATATGGCCGGTTTGTTAATAAAATAAAATAGTAAAAGTAATTTTTTGTGTATGTAAATCATATTTATTTTTCAGTGCACGGTGTGAATCCCAATGTTAAAGTAAAGGAATATGGAAATCAAACAGGAATGCACGTTGCAGCAGCCTATGGTAGTCTTGAGGCAATGCATGTGCTAGTCCTTGCAGGTGCTACTGTAGATATGACTGATACTCAGCTTATGACTCCACTGATGATCGCCATCACCAAAGACCAGAACAGTGTGGTGCATTATTTAATACAAGCAGGAGCATCACTAATGGCCAAGGTGAATTACTAGAATAAATGGAAGCGAGAGAAAAGAAATCTTGCGCTTCATTAATGTAATGAAATTACTTCTCTTTCCTGCAGTATAGTACTCTGCCAACCTGATGTTTCATCTCATATAGTGACTGCTTGTTTTCTGTTGTTTAAATTTTCCCCTATCCATATATTTTATTTTTCTTTTACTCCAGCTTGCTTCTCAGATTTGCTGAGTAGCCTTCTATATGGCACTGCATGAAAAGCCTTCTTAGTCATTGAATATGCAGCCTAGCCATCCCTCTTTTTACTGACTTACCTCTGTTTAATCCATCATGTCTCTACAAGGTTAGTAAGACATCACCTTTCATGTCTGAATCTATGCAAGGTAACCTCAGAAGTTCTCCTGTTTGTTGCATGTATTCACACATTAAAAGAACTTGAATGAAGCTTCAGAGATTTGAATAAGGGTGATGAGATGGCAGATTACAAATTTCATGGACCAGCACAACCAGCATAACCTGAACCAGCATGGTTTTAGAGCAGCATGATCATGCCTGTCACAGCTACTGAACCATTATGACAGAATTATGGAGGCGTTGGAAGACGACCAAAACACAGATGTGATTTACACAAATTTTGCAAAGGTGTTTGACAAATGCAATCATGGAGTGATAGTGCACAAAATGAGGGCCATGGGCATTACAGGGAAGGTAGGCAGATGAATTTTTGGGTTCCTAACAAACGGAACATAAAAAGTAGTAGTAAACAGAGCAAGATCCAGCATCAGCAAGGTAAAAAGCTCAGTGCCTAAAGGCACTGTCGTGGCACCTCTGCTGTTTCTCATCTTCATAGCAGACATAGATAAAAACACCCACCACATTTTTGTATCATCATTTGCAGGTGATACTAAAATAAGCATGAAAGTCACTATGGTAGAGGACACTGAAAAATTACAGGAAGATTTAAGCAGGGTTTTCCAGTGGGCAGTGGAGAACATGATCTTCAGTGGTGATAAGTTCCAGCTGCTTAGGCATGGAAAGAATGAGTAACTCAAAAGGAACGATGCCTACAAAACTTAAGAGGGCCACCAAATAGAACAAAAGGAACACATAAAAGATTTGGGAATAATTATGTAAGCCGACCTTTCTTTTAAAGACCATAGCAAGACAAAGATCATGACAGCCAGGAAGATGACAGGGTGGGTATTGAGAACTTTCAAAACAAGGAAATAATGCCAATGGTGACACTTCAAATTACTAGTGCTCCCTCATTTAGAATATTGCTCAATGCTGACAGCCCCTTTCAAAGCAGGAGAAATATCAGAGCTGGAACAAATACAGAGATCGTTTATGGCTCACATTGAGCCAGTAAAGCACCTAAATTACTGGGAGCACCTTCAAGTCTTGAACATGTACTTATCGGAACAGAGGAGAGAGAGAGAGAGAGAGAAAATGATAATGTATACTTGGAAAGTACTTGAGGGCCTGGTCCCAAATCTGCACACTGGCATAACATACTTGAGTGAGATATGGGAGGAAGTGGAAAATAAACCCAGTGAGGAGCAGGGGTGCAATGGAGACAGTAAGGGAACACTGCATCAACATCCGGGGTCCCAGACTATTCAGCATCTTACCAGACAATATCAGAAACATGGCTGGAACAAATGTAGAAGCCTTCAAGAGGAAACTGGACAAGTCTCTTTACCAGGTGCCAGATCAACCAGACTGTAGTGGCTATGTGGGGCAGCAGGCCTCCAGCAGCAACAGCCTGGTTGACCAGGCAAGCACCAGATGAGCCTGAATGTGAAGATCATATGGTAAAAATGGGCTACATTCCAGTACTCTCCAAATTTCCCCAAAAAATTATAAAAATCTACTACTGTACATCAGAAATAACAGTTTATCTTTTTTTTTTTTTTTTTTTTTACAAGTCGGTCATCTCCCACCGAGGCAGGGTGACCCAAAAAAGAAAGAAAATCCCCAAAAAGAAAATACTTTCATCATCATTCAACACTTTCACCTCACACATAATCACTGTTTTTGCAGAGGTGCTCAGAATACAACAGTTTAGAAGCATATACATATAAAGATACACAACATATCCCTCCAAACTGCTAATATCCCAAAACCCCTCCTTTAGAGTGCAGGCATTGGACTTCCCATTTCCAGGACCCAAGTCCAGCTATATAAAAATAACCGGTTTCCCTGAATCCCTTCACTAAATATTACCCTGCTCACACTCCAACAGATCATCAGGTCCCAAATACTATTCGTCTCCATTCACTCCTATCGAACACGCTCGTGCACGCCTGCTGGAAGTCCAAGCCCCTCGCCCACAAAATCTCCCTCACCCCTTCCTTCCAACCTTTTCGAGGACGACCCCTACCCCGCCTTCCTTCTCCTACAGATTTAAATGCTCTCCATGTCATTCTACTTTGATCCATTCTCTCTAAATGACCAAACCACCTCAACAACCCCTCTTCAGCCCTCTGACTAATACTTTTATTAACTCCACACCTCCTAATTTCCACGCTCCGAATTTTCTGCATAATATTTACACCACAGCTGGTAAAAATTGACCACTGTCTGGAAAATCTGCCAGCTCCTGCACCCAACATCTTGCTCCTGGGGGATTTCAATTTAAGGCATCTAAAATGGAGGAATATAGCAAATAATATTGTTGCAGTAATAACACCAGGAGGCAGCTCTGACGAAAACTCACACTCACACGAGCTTTTAAATCTCTGCACGAAATTCAATTTAAACCAGAAAATAATAGAGCCTACTAGACTGGAGAATACACTAGACCTCATCTTCATTAACAATGATGATCTGATACGAAATGTCACCATATCAAAAACAATATACTCAGATCACAACATAATTGAGGTTCAGACATGTATGCGCAGAGCCCCAGACCGACATAATGAGATTAGTCACGAGGGAGCATTCACCAAATTCAACTTCAATAACAAAAACATAAAGTGGGACCAAGTAAACCAAGTCCTAACCGATATAAGCTGGGAAGATATAATCAACATAGACCCCAACTTATGCCTAGAACAGATTAACTCGGTGGCACTCGATGTATGCACAAGGCTTATTCCTTTAAGAAAAAGGAGGAGTAGATGTAAAATAGAAAGAGACAGGCGCTCCCTTTACAGGCGACGGAAAAGAATAACAGAGCGGCTAAAAGAGGTCAATATATCTGAAATGCGTAGGGAGACACTGGTCAGAGAAATAGCAAGCATCGAACTTAAGCTAAAGGAATCTTATAGGAGTCAGGAATTGCGGGAAGAACTAAACGCCATAAATGAAATCGAAAGAAACCCAAAGTATTTCTTCTCCTATGCCAAATCAAAGTCGAGAACAACATCCATCCAGTATTGGGCCCCTACTTAAACAAGATGGGTCCTACACAGATGACATCTAGGAAATGAGTGAGCTACTCAAGTCCCAATATGACTCAGTTTTTAGCAAGCCGCTAACCAGACTGAGAGTCGAAGATCAAAATGAATTTTTTATGAGAGAGCCACAAAATTTGGTTAACACAAGCCTATCTGATGTTATCCTGATGCCAAATGACTTCGAACAGGCGATAAATGACATGCCCATGCACTCCGCCCCAGGGCCAGACTCATGGAACTCCGTGTTCATCAAGAACTGCAAGAAGCCCCTATCACGAGCTTTTACCATCCTATGGAGAGGGAGCATGGACACGGGGGTCGTCCCACAGTTACTAAAAACAACAGACATAGCCCCACTCCACAAAGGGGGCAGTAAAGCAATAGCAAAGAACTACAGACCGATAGCACTAACATCCCGTATCATAAAAATCTTTGAAAGGGTCCTAAGAAGCAAGATCACCACCCATCTAGAAACCCATAAATTAAACAACCCAGGGCAACATGGGTTTAGAACAGGTCGCTCATGTCTGTCTCAACTATTGGATCACTACGACAAGGTCCTAGATGCACTAGAAGACAAAAAGAATGCAGATGTAATGTATACAGACTTTGCAAAAGCCTTCGACAAGTGTGACCATGGCGTAATAGCGCACAAAATGGGTGCTAAAGGAATAACAGGAAAAGTCGGTCGATGGATCTATAATTTCCTCACTAACAGAACACAGAGAGTAGTAGTCAACAGAGTAAAGTCCGGGGCAGCTACAGTGAAAAGCTCTGTTCCACAAAGCACAGTACTCGCTCCCATCTTGTTCCTCATCCTCATATCTGACATAGACAAGGATGTCAGCCACAGCACCGTGTCTTCCTTTGCAGATGACACCTGAATCTGCATGACAGTGTCTTCCATTGCAGACACTGCAAGGCTCCAGGCGGACATCAACCAAATCTTTCAGTGGGCTGCAGAAAACAATTTGAAGTTCAACGATGAGAAATTTCAATTACTCAGATATGGTAAACACGAGGAAATTAAATCTTCATCAGAGTACAAAACAAATTCTGGCCACAAAATAGAGCGAAACATCAACGTCAAAGACCTGGGAGTGATCATGTTGGAGGATCTCACCTTCAAGGACCATAACATTGTATCAATTGCATCTGCTAGAAAAATGACAGGATGGATAATGAGAACCTTCAAAACTAGGGATGCCAAGCCCATGATGACACTCTTCAGGTCACTTGTTTTATCTAGGCTGGAATATTGCTGCACACTAACAGCACCTTTCAAGGCAGGTGAAATTGCTGACCTAGAAAATGTACAGAGAACCTTCACGGCGCGCATAACGGAGATAAAACACCTAAATTACTGGGAGCGCTTGAGGTTCCTGAACCTGTATTCCCTGGAACGCAGGTGGGAGAGATACATGATTATATACACCTGGAAAATCCTAGAGGGACTAGTACCGAACTTGCACACGAAAATCACTCACTACGAAAGCAAAAGACTTGGCAGACAATGCAACATCCCCCCAATGAAAAGCAGGGGTATCACTAGCACGTTAAGAGACCATACAATATGTGTCAGAGGCCCGAGACTGTTCAACTGCCTCCCAGCATACATA